CCCTTCAAATAAAGTGTTACCATTTCTACTCGCTGTTAGATGTACAGGGCTTCACCAGTAACCTGGAACTGCAAGCGTCTTTGCTGCGCTGATTATTGAACCGGCAGAGCAAACTCATTCCTGAGAAAAGGGGTTTATATTTAATGTATTGAACATAGCATGAAGCTGGGAGCATAGCGATCAGCTGGCATCTCTACGTGTTACCGCCAAGCGCATCACCGCAGCTGCATTTCTCAAGTTTATCCCAGTGCAGCTGGCGCTCCACCTCTCACTCAAACTAGACGATTTGGCAGGTGTTCTTTTAGAGAAGCTTCACCTGCAATTTTATCAACTCCCTCAGTCGTGTTTCTTTGTAGAATACTTCAGATTGTAGCTGAAGTACTCTCAATCTTAACTATGAAGATTGCTCTTTGAACTTTTACAAAGTCAGTGTTAAACAATTTAAAATCTTTTAATTTGTTTGAAAGCATTTGGTTTAACAGAACTGACATTCTCAGTAAACAAATGTTAAATTTCTGTATCTGTCATCTGTGTTAAAATGTTTGCATTTATGGGGCCATTGAGATGCCTCTGGAGATGCTTAGTTAATTTATGCCATGGGCCAACTCTAAATGCATTAAAAGTGTTTTCCACTAACTAATAACTTAATTTCGATTTAACAGAAGTGAAAATCATTTCATTTAAATTGTATTTTTTTTGGTTTGTCGTTTTGCACCTATATAGTTGTGTGTTGGCAATGTCTTCCAGTAACATAATTACCCAGTAATATTTTACATTTCCTGTCAACTTAACATGTTTTAATATATAAACATGGTAGACTGACCACCAGGTATAGCAGGTTTTCTGGGGGAAACCCTGAACCCTGTACATAAATATCATAAATAACTAAAGACAAACAGCCCCAGTTACTGAATTCATAAAAGAAAAACACATAAAAATAAATCAAAAAGCTTCTAGGATAAGAATCTGTTGCCTTTTCAATACAATCTAAAGCTCTGTTAGTCAGTGTTAATGACAACTGCTACCACCTAGAAAACCACTTTGCTTTTCTGTTTTTATTTTTTAATTTCTATAGGATATTTTGTGTGTTTGCATTAAAAGTCATATTTTGAATGTCCTTTCTGTTTTCAGCTTCATTGCAATTCCATGAGCCAAGCCCTGCAGCTGGTCTGTACAAGTTCTAAAACTGAAGAAAACATTAACAAACCAAATGCAGTGCTGAGTTATCCAACTGTTAATACTGTCCTTAAACTCTTTAGAGAGCATGTATGTATGTATGTGTGTCTGCATGATGCCTCTGAAACAGTGGGGTGTTTATCCTCAAAATAGTCAAGCTTTTAACTGTCAAATGACATTTTTAGCTAAGCTAGTTTGGAAATCATTCTTCCATTAAGTTGTAGAAAACAAATGTATTATCAGAGTTAACACTGCACTGGTTAAAATCTAATTTGACCGCTTCTCTGCTTGTATGATTACATTTGACTGTGGTCACTCCTCACTGTCCAGACGGAATAGATGGACACAGGACACTAGGAGACAAAGCGGGTCTGGCTGGCAAGAGAGACATGGGCCAGGACGAAGACTTCAGAACAGGTCTGTCACTCAGATTTTATACCATATTCTGGAATAGATGTTGCTGAAAGTTGCTTGAAGAAAAACCTGGGAGTCAGAAAAACTGCATTTGATCATTTGTAAGAAGAAAAAAAAGTCAACTCTAAGGTTTATTGCATTTTGCTTCTGTGCCTCTGTAGGTTCCTTTCGAATAGCAGATGAAGATGTCATCCACACTGTCATCGATTTCCTGTCGTACCTCAAACTTAAAGGTATTTTTGAGTTAAAGTAAAACCGATGGCATAATTTTGAAATATGAAGGAATATGAAAGTGCTTAAGCATGTAAATATTTTTCCCACATATCAAATCTATGCAAAAAGGTTAGGGTTCTTACTGTTACACACCCTGTCCAAACATCTCAAAGGTGCTGATTAACATGTGGCTCTAGAAGAAGCAGGACAAGTTTTTCTGAATGCTGTTCATGTTTGTCTTGTGTGTGATTTCAGAGATGGGAGCCCTGGACAGCATGTCTTCTCCTGTGTCATCAGATGAACTGGTCAATCCCTAACATCTCTCCTCCATCTGTGTCCTCCAACAGTGTTTCAGATATTTGACCTCCCAGTTCTTTAAATGTCCAATTATCTTAACTCCATGGGCAAACTTATATTCCCCAACTATACAGCTTGGCTATTTCTGTTCCTGTGTAAATAAATCTTTTATCTACTGAAGCTCACTTTGTTTGTCGGCTGTAGATGGGTGCAAATATTAATTATGTCTACTTACCGTTCTGTCACAGGACTGCAAGAATACAGTGAAATGAGCAAATTAAAATAGATTCATGATATGCCTTATTTTATATCCTTGTGTTTACCATTGTTACATCCACCAAGGGCACAACATATTTGAGGACATGAGACAAGAATGAGGGTTCAACAAAAATATTTTATTCTTAAACTCTCTTGAACTTTGTTTTTTTTTTTGTTCAGCTGCTTCTGATTTTCTGTGAAGAAAAAGAGTTAAATGCCCCCAGTTTCCCGTGTCCCCCCGCCCCGAAAAAAAAGAGAAAAAAAAAACAAACAAAAAAACAAAAGTATTAACAGAAAGTTGGACCTGGTGAGCCGATCAAACAGAACAAAACGGTACAGCCGGGGGCCAACCCTATACATGGCCGTCGAAGCCCCTACTAGTACCGGACTAAAGCAAAAAGAACCTAATGCAAAAGACAGATCGAAACCAGGACAACCGGTCCCACCAGGCCAAAATCACAACGAAAAAACAAACAAACAAAGGCTAACAGAAATACCACATAGCAGGCTGGAAACCTCAGCTGCGGCCCACAGCGACTGGACGAGCGCGCACTGCGTCAAGACACGTCCCCTGTGGTGGTGGAGCGAGCGGAAGCGAGTGGAAGAGCGGAGATCCCCAACATGCCGAAACCCAGCCTATTTATAGGCGGACCAACAGCGCCACAAATTAACGTAATCAAATGACCAAAAATAGGAAATTATCCAAACTCCAAAATATATTAACAAAAGGTCATTCTAGTAAAGTCTATAAGAAAACAAAGAAAAAATAGACAAAAATCATCATAATGTGCCCGAAGCATAACAACCATTTCAAACATCAATTAATCCTAAAAACGACACAGCTCTTATTTTAAAAAGCAAAAAGTAGTGAGTGGTTGAGTTTCTCCCCAGGTAAGGCAGCGCACACCTGGTGAGCAAATACAACCATATTTTACATACTGGAACTTTATTTGATGAAAATGAAATAATTTAGTACAAAGTGAAAAGTTTTGTTAATCTGTTAACATTTATTAAACCACACAGTCATCTTCCTTCAAGTTTTTTTTATTTGTTCAACTCATAAACAGTTAATCCAGAAATAAAAGAATAAAAAAAAAGAAAACTGAAACTACTTGACACATTTTGTGATAGACTGCATGTCAGGGGCACGACGACATGTTCATGATGCCTCACGTTAAGCCTTCAAAAACTGTAATACCGTTTTTGCATCACTAGATGTCAATAATGTCAAGAAAAAAACCATCAGAATTTAAAGTAGAAAGAAACTGATTTTGCTATAGCAGTGGTAGGTAAAATAATCTTTCTAGTGACTTGTGTTTTTTTTTTTTTAGATGTTTGCATTTCCCTCCTATTTATCACCTTAGTGACTTAGATATTGGTCCAAAATAAGTGATAAGCACATTATTTAAAGGTCGAGAACAAAAAGGGTTGTTTTGAGTTGCTTTTGAGGCTTGATTATTCTGTGTTCCTTACTCTTTCTTTGATTAGATCAGTCTTGTTTCTGTTTTACTACTTCAGTCCTTCTTTTATTTCTTGTCTCTAGTTATTGCTTGTTACTCTGGTTTTATTATGTTTCTGAGGTTTAGTTATTCTTTAGTGCTAGATTTATTTTCCAGTCCCCTGTGTACTCTCTCTCGTCCCCTGTGTACCTCTTCCTCACCTGCAACCTCACACCTCATACCTGCAACCTGTTAGCTCATCAGCCCAGGTCTTTTATTCCCTCATTCACCCTCACAGTATTTAAACCCTTTTCCTGATCATGTTCCTTTCTGGTTTCTCCCGTTATACCCTATACTCTCAGAATTGATTCCCTGCCATTATTTTCCTTGGTTCTCTATTATTTTTCTGTTCATTTTTTTATTCAAATTCAAAAATACTTTTTTAATCCCAAAGGCAAATTGAATAAATAATTATTTAAACTTTGAAACTACTTGCTGTCCCCACCGTGTGGCATTTGGCACCTCCATCCAAAACCTACACCACGATAACTGCATGCGCTAATGCGCAGCAGCACCAGTGGTGTGATTGGTATGCTCCCAGCTTCATGCCATGTTCAATGCATCAGCTATCAACCGCTTTTTCAGAAATGAGTCTGCATTGCCGGTGAAATACTCAGTGCAGCAAATACGCTTTACCACTGCAGCTTCTGTCCATGGTAGTCAAGGACTACCATTGTCCTGCTCGCTAAGTCCGAAGAGGACAGACAGGATTCCAGAAACACTCTGCTCTACTGTTAAGTCAGCCTGTAACACAGAAGTAGATTGTCAGTGGAGGATTTCCTCTGATATATACAAATTCCTCTGATATAGACCCACATTTAGATGATGGTGGAATCAACATTGATATAATACCAGCTATGGTTGAAACCCTAGCATTGATTCAATTTATAAGTCACCGGCCATTTTTTGTATAACTTCAATGTCAGACTTCAACATGGATTCAATATTTCTACCTAGCCATATTTAAGTGTTGATTAGTGATGGGTCCGGCAATACCGATGCGTCGGCGCATGTGTCAAGCCCATAGACCAAACCCGTGTCAGTGCGTGTACTGGTTTCAGCAAGTAATGTGACCAATACAGGAACTGTTTCGAAATGACATTAATGCGCCAAACTGTGTTTATAAGGAAGCGAATCTGTCAATCTGTCAAAAGCAGATTGATTCGTTTGGCACAGCAGCTGAGTAATTTACGGTACAGCGTCAACTAGCAGCCTCAAACGAAAGGTTTCCACAGTGTGGGACCATTTTGGTCTTATGTTGGAAAATAAATGTTTTCATTTTTGTTGTTTCATCCTGTTCTTGTCAGTTTCT